TCCGGCCTACAAGACGACCCCCGATTTTTGGGGGATGTTTTTTAACTTCAGAGGTCGTCTTGTACGCCGGAATATACGGTACATCAAAAGAGGGCGAGAGACTGCTAACTTATATGCTTTCTATCTAGTATGGTAAGCTTAGCTTGCATTTCTGTTTACTTGCAAGGCAATCTGCTATGATGTTTGCTATAACTTACAATCACTGAAAATCTTTGTGTAATCCATAAAATCTTTTAAAATCTAAACCAGAGAGTCTGAACGAACTGCTTGGAAATCTTCGCTCAAGGGACAAAGGCTGTTGCATTTCTTCTCCACATTGAAGGGGAAGTGAACTGGATAATGAATTCATACTGGTTGGGGTTTAGAGTAGGACAGGATAGTACAGCTCTGGGGTCCTTGGCTGGAAAGCTGGTGATTATTTTGGCTGCAGCCTCTCTACTGTTGGTTCATACAGTGGATCAGCCTACATGTAACTGCAGCTGGGTGTGTCCCTAGCTGTGTGAATACTGGGGAAAGTGTAGGTCTGGGAGCAGATGTGTAGCTTGTCACAGCAGCACAGTGAGAGAGAGCCCAAGCTGGCAAGTCAGAGGGCTTAGCAGTACCCCCATCCCAGGTGGCACCCATCATGCTCTTGTCTGTGCATGCTTATCAACACCACACAACTCTGAGATTTATTTGCATAGCAGTCCCATGTAATGGCCTAGGGTCAGGTGGGAATTTACAGGGTATTACTTGCGTAAAAGGAATCTGACATTTCTTTCTGAACATTATTGCCATTAAAAAAAAAAAAAAAAAGACAGTATTTTGGATTTTTCTATTTTACACTTCTTTAAAATAATACACCGAGTCTGGCATGACCAATAACAACACATGACTTTGTGCATAGCCATCTAAAGATCCAAGGTGTAAGAGACTGATGCCAGAATCGAGATTGGATTCCTGCCCTCGTCCTCAGGCCTACTCCTCCACCTCCAGCATTGCACAGTTGGTCAGGAGCACCAGGAATGGTTTTGCCTCCTCTGAAGCATCAGAGAAGGGAAGATAAGATCACTGTGCCCAGGTAGCTGTCAGTCTGGGACAAGAGACTATTGGAGGGTTTCTCTCCAAGAGGAAACAGATGTGAATTCTACTATGAGAAAATCTTCTATATGTTTAGCTGTTCTTAGAGATTAGGCAAATCTGTTTTCACCATAGACATGTACTGCTGCAGGACAGGAGCAACTCAATTTTGGCCTAAGACAGACTTTAAAAAAAAAAGTGTTTTTTTTTTTAAACAAAACCTGAATCCAAAAGAATCTGTCAAGAACATGTACAGAATTCCTCTGTAGAGCTTGGAACCAAAGCTCTGAAAATTTCACTTCTAACTGAAGATGTAGGTAAGATAATTACTGCTACAGAATTTAAGATGTGTCCCATTACTTCATTCTAGCACAATCATCTCTGTATTTCAAATGGGTGCAAGATGGAGGCCTTGACCACTTATAGTCACTTTGGCCTTTTTTGTGAGATGCAGCATTAGCCCAGGTTCTGGCCATACCAACTCTGAACATTTGACTGACTCCCTAAACTCTAATAGAGTTTTTACAGGATGGACGTTCTTTGCTGTATGGCCTTACTGCTGGAGCTTTGTCAAAAAGTTGCTCCGTTTCAGTCTAAAGGGTGGTAGAGATCACGGCCAAGATCTTACATATTAGTCAAAAGTGCTTTGGGATGAGACATACAATAGGTGGATTTTCTTTTCTGCCTCGTGAGGAAAAGACAAAAGGGCTTCTGCTCTTACTTGATGAGGTTCTGGAAAGCGTAGCCATCCGTCCACTGCTCAGTGAAAGAGGCCCCATGCCGGACTGTAGTGAAGTGACCCAGTCTCAGTCGATCCTGCATGCTCTTATCTCTGCATGCCATCTTCTCCTGTTTCGACTGAAGGAGGACAAGACAAGGGTTGAATCAGCAAGCACTAATGATCAATTTTGAGCTGAAAGTTATGTAGCATTTTAAATACTCTACTCTTAATCAATTCTTACTATGATCATCCACGGATTCAGTAACAGCTTACCAGCAAAACTCACTCACTGTTCACTACTCAGCCACTTCTAATTCCTTACCTTGAAAGCACCACACATTTGCCACTGGGGCAAGTGGCAATGCTGGAGTACACTGTTACCAAATGCCACTTTTTAGACTTTTAAGTACCTTTTTTTCCTCCCCAGAGATTTGGAAAGCTAGTAGCTCACCTTCTCAATAAGAAGCTTTTTGCTCATTGTCACACATCTATTCAACCGTTCCTTGTATTTCTCCAGCATCTTTTGCTGTTCATCAATCTGCCTTCTCAAATCACAGTTGGCCTAAAAAGAAAGTACACAAGGTAAGTGAAGACACGATATGAATTCTCTCAAGGATGCCTGAAAAAGCCTAGCCACGAATCGCCTTGAAAAGTACTCTGCTTAGCTGGATTCAGGCAACAGGTCAGATAAAGCAAATCACCAGCCAACTTGCTGCCATATCAAGTGAATCCGCTTATCTGGCCCCGACTACCCGAGTATTTGAGCACCTCCCAATCCTTAATGTATCCTTACAACACTCCAGGAAATGTGGTAAGAGCACAATAGCACTTCCCTAAGTGGGGAAACTGAGGCAGAGAGAGACTGAGGTCTGGCTACACTGGTGCAGCTGACACACTGCAATGTAGCCACTCCAAGGTGACAGAAGAGAACTCCCACAAGCGGTTATAGCTACGTCCATACTGGCACTTGTGGCTGTGTAACTTAAACTGTAGGGAGTGATCTGTACACTCTCCCTCCCCCTCCAAGCGACATAAGCTGTAATACAGATAGAGCTATTGCTATGTCTTATCTAAAGTAACTTGCTCAAGATCACATAGGAAGTCTGAACAAGGATCTCAAGTCCTAGGCCAAAACAGTAATCACTGAACCATCCTTCCTCTAGTGAACACTGACAGGAAGCAGCAAGGTGACTTCCTTTGCATGGTCAGCTGTAGGTTTCCTCTCTGGCACAGCTAGTCACCTTGCTAGAAACTCTCTTTCTAAAAACTGGGATGTGTTTCAAGACCACCACATTTGCAGGGGTATTTCCTGTGTTAACAAAAAAAGGACATCTCTAAAACCCAGAAAAAAAATCTGTCATTTGGCATCCAATTAAGCCTCAAGTGGTGTAGATCTCTCAAAAAAGATTTTAGGCATGATTCTTGAGGTCATTAGAAAACAACTGTGTGTCATCCTGGCTTATTGAAAATTGTTCTTTTATGTTTTACCCATGCCATGAAAAGCATCTCGTTTACATATATAGTCTCCTAGATATTAGCGGCTAGACACGCAAGTATAGTCATTGCAGAATAAGGACAAGTGTGGTCAGAAGCAGGATTTTAATGGAATGTATTCAATACAGAAGATTCTGGAATAAGAGAAAAAGTTCAGTTTTGCTTTCTGCTCCTTGATTCTTGCTTTCTTCTTAGGGTAAATACCATGCCTACATGTCTGATGGGTCTTCTAGATAGACAAGTAGAAAATGTGCTGTGAGGGGCAGGAAACTAAGTCCGGTACCCTCAAGACTTGACCAGTTCCAACCAGAGAATTTGCCGAACCATGGGAGGTCAATATTATTTAGCACCGTTACCAACACTTCTACTGCTTACTGTGCTCCAAGAAGACATTGAGGGATAAATTAGAACTATCAACAGCACAGAACACAGAGCCTGGACTGGTTAATAAACTTTATAGGACCAGGGGAAACATGGCCACATCCATGATGAGTGGACATCCAGCTAACTCAAATCATGCTGGACCACGGATGTTGTTGGACCAGAGAGTGCCAGACTAGAGAGGTTCAAGCTGTAGTGCTTTGTATGCTTTCTAATGTAGAGGACAGCTTCCATCACTTCTCTTGGGAGAGTTAAGTTCCAAATCTACTAAATTTCATTTAGAATAAAATCCTCTGAGTTCTTTTACTTACAAATCAGGAGACAGAACAGTTATACCTCTTAGACTGGCCTAATACATTTGGTATCTCTACATATCCTGGCAAGTCTTCCCATAGTTTCTACCTCAAGAAGAGCTCTTCTCAGCCTAACCAATTTATCAATTATCCTTTAAAAAGGTATTAATGTTACCTCCTTCTTTAAGCTCTGGTCTACACAAGAGAGTTACTTTAAAATAACTTGCCTTATCTCTAAATAAGCAGAGCGCCTATGCTACTAAGCTCGCTATTTTGAAATAAAGGGCTGGTTATTTTAAAATCTGTACTTCTGAAATAACTATTTTGAAATAAGCTTATTCCCTGAGGAAAGCAGGAGTTATTATTTCAAATTTAGTTATTTCAAAATAATTTCCTAGTGTAGACATGCCCTTAGAATGTCAGTTTCTCCAATGGTAGTACAAAAAAATCCTGATTTGCAGACTGATTTGTACACACAGTTCATTCATGAAATATCAGGATGCTCCGAAAAGCAACTTTTGCATGTGTCTTTCCTTGTTCACACTTACTCTTAATAAGTCGTCTATCCTCCCCTCCTTCTTCTCCAGGTCAGAGTTTTTATTGTTTTCTAGTGCAGATATCTTTTCCATTGTGAGGTCAGACTGAAGAGACAAACATCACAAATCAAACTCAGAAGAAAGTAGCCAATATTTCAGCTACAGAAAGCTTACTACAGACTTCTATCTTCAGCCATTTGTCATGGTTATGACTAGTTTATTCTTGAAAGGGCTTTGTACATTGTAAAACTCTTCACTCTACAGGGTGCACACACCTCGCATAAAGGTCACACAACAGGGTGAGCGACAAGCGTTAGACAAGTCAGCCATGGTGAACGCTGAAACTGCAGTGGCATTTCAAGAGTTTTGCAAAAGCCACACCACCTGCTGCAAATAGAGTCCTGCATTGCATTCTTGAAATTGTTTAGTGCCCCTAAGGCCTCTGGTTTTCAATATTCTCCCAGGAAATCTCAACACAGTTAGCAAAAGGGGAGGCTAAAAATGCATGGCCTCTCAGCCATGATTTCAAAGGTAGCTTTGGTTCAAACTAAGATTTCGATAGGTAGATGGAGTAAGACTACTACACACACTGAAGATCACAGATTGGCCATTATATAGCCACGCTATTAATTAGACAAGACGTTAGTCTTCACACAGCCCTAAGATGGTCTGGTGGAGATGACACACACCTGGCCTTCATTTTCTATTTGTATGTGCTCGTTTTAAATAGCCTCCCCTGAACTGAACTGGTCCCTTTAAGCAGCAGAAACAAACAAATATTTCCCAGGCAGCTGGTTCCTCTGCTGTTGCCCAGAGTCCTGGCTGCTGGCAGAGCCACCCCTGTCCATCGGGCGGATGCCCCAACGCTCCTACGGACAGGACCTGTGGCATCTAGGGGGTTACCTACGGGACCTGGCGGGGACTGTAGCCCATCTCCCAGCTTCACCACAGCGGCCCTGCCCTGGCATGCTCCACTTCCCACCACTGCTGTGAACTGGAGCGCAGCAGGCTGGGAGATGGGTGGCAGGGTGGAATAGAACAGAGAGAAAGAGAGGCACAAGGGGCACTTATTCAAGGTGATAATACAGAGACAGAGCACCAACAATCCAAACTCAGTCTTCTGATGAAGTCCCTGGGTTACCACCTGCCAAGACCCATGTCTCCCCCCCCCCCCCCCCCCCACCCC